TGATTTCCACTGTTGCGTTTTTCATACGTACGTATACGCACGTAAAACTTTAAATCCGTTTAAATGTTACTTATGAAATAACCAAATAAATAAAGCAACAGAATTTAGTGTTCCACAAGTTTTAGTATGCATTTGTTAACTCATTTGTAAAATATTTAAAAATAGAAGGATTCAAAGTTTTACGTGCGTGTACGTGCGTACGAAAACGCAACAGTGGAAATCAGCCTTTAAGGCCTTAATTTTAGACGTCGAATTGCGTTGAATTTAATTTGCTGATTTTAATGTTTCTGAACTATTAATTTACTCGATGGAATTTCGAAGTGAATCTCTACAATTGTGCGAGGAAACTCATCAAATACTTCGACGTCATACTTACTACAGTGCGCTGAATATTATACATTAAAACGTCATTTCTCTTGAATAAAAAAAATCAATAACATTAAATTCAACAAACCAAATTTGACGTCTAAACCAGGCGTTAACGATCTTGACTATATAGCGTTAATCTTGAAAACCTCCTCCTGAGTTCTGGTTCCGCCTCCGGCTTTGGCAACGAGCCATCTATTAGAGGCCTTAAGATTGACGTTTAGCCTATAGGACAGACCGCAAACGGCAAACTTCAAATCGCATTTTGAGGACAACTGTTAGCTGTTCGATCGTCAGGACAGTTTGTGCATTAAAATTGAAGCATGAATTAGCTATTTAGCTGTCAAAAACTTGTAGAACTTTATACCAGTTGAAATGCGATTTAAAGTTTTCCGTTTGCTCTTGGAAGAGGTTGCTATTTCGCTGGCCTCAAAGTGACAAAACGTAACAAAGCAACGGTTTTACTAACACTAACCCTATTCCAAACACCAACTCTAACCGTAACCATAATCCCAACCCTAATCCTAACCTAACCCTACTCCAAGTTTGTTTCTAAACCAATCTTGAAGATAAAAGTTTTGACGAAATGTCATTCTGATTTCTGAGGTCAGCGAAATAACTTCTTCCTTTGCTCTTTATTAGCGGTCTGCTGTGAACGTCAATCTGCTACTCTCTAGTTAATAACGATCTTAAGGGCCTTCGCTCGAAACGTCAAAGATTTACTTGTATTTTTCAGGTAGTTGAATCCTCAATCCGCAGCTTTCTGGCGTGTGTTAAATTGTCATTACCTAGCTACGCTCGCACAGACCGAGTTCGAGTTTATATATTGAACTGGCTCGCCCTCGTTCACCCGGTTTTAGCAACGATCAATCTATTACAGTGTTCTAACCGGCAAATTGATTGAAACCTACCTTGCATCATGAATTTCATGAGGGTTTGTTAAGAAACACCTCACAACAACATCGGAGTCATCAACAGTAAGTGGTACCAACCATGCTAGATCACAGAGATGTGTCTCATTGCAATGTGGACTTAATACATTCTCTTCAATCCCATATAAGAATCCATAGTGATTTGGTGCATGATCAGTACAGTTTGAAGGAATTTCACTTGTCATAGCATTACTAATGTTCCTGCACAATTCAAGATATATAAGTATGGGAGATTGTCAAGCTAATTATGCAGTAGTGACACACATGTTATCTCCTATTTCTTATTTCCTAATTAGCCATCTTATACTTCTTGTCATAACCATAGGATGATCAAGTGTTTCCACAACTATTCAAGGTTGCAACCTGGTTCCCATATGGTTGTAATGGTGCCGTTAAAATAGAGTCAGAATCTTTCTCAACGACCAGTTTATACCTGTAAACCACATATAAATCACAAGACATTTAGTATTCTCCAGTTACAATCACTCCGCGTATTTTCAGTTCTAAAAATTTGTATTTCGGCTGATATGAGAAAGATCGTGCAATTCATGCAAGAATTGGTCTCAACAAGCCACCAGCATCATCGCCATGGAGGATCCAATCATGCAGGAGGAACCTGAATTATCGAACACAAGAAATAGCCGACAACGACGAACCACTTAGGAAGGGTTGCGAAAAATGCAACACTACATCCTGGGGCAGGAATTGAACCTGTGGCGCTGCGATTCAGGACCTGCGATTCTGTTTAAGAGTGCTGCATTTTTTGAAAACCATACTTCCTCAGTTAGGTATAAAAAGTGTACGTATGTTATCACTTGGATTAAATATCCATCTACACCAACATTCAGAAAATTTTACCATCAAGGTGTAAGATCTGTTGTACTAAAGTTCAAATGCCAGTTAAAAGAACTCAAAATGTTGTCAAGTCGGATGTCATAGTTCATGAGAAGATATTATTATTGCTGCTTGAACAACTTTTTGTTCACAATTATACTATAATCTACCACTAGAAAAATAAATAGTTTTGCTGAATTGTTGCACCATGACTTATTTAAATACATCAGAAACATCCCAGTCCTTACATCTCGTCCTGGCAAAGTGGGACCGTCACCATATAAACAGCCCTTTACTTACATGATAAGAAAGTTTCCTTCAAGATCAGCTATGCTTGATGATTGTTGGAATTGAACCAGTGCACCTTCACTGTATAAAACCTTTGTTGTATTCATGACACTATCAAGACCATAGCCAGTGACATCTAACCTTACAACCGGAGTGTAACCTGAGTGGACTAGTGATCTTGCCAAGAATGGATTGACCTGAAGGATGAAAAATTATTGTATGTACGAGGATCAGGATCCATGCAGATATGGGAGGGGGGTGCTCATCAGACCTTAGTCATGATTTGCAGTGCTACTGTCGACCAATTAGTGCCAATTTTACTTGGGTGGGGGGTCACAATTAGCCATTCCGAAGTTGATGAGTGGACTGGGGATGAGTGTTAAAAAGTGCACAAATTAAGAAACAAACCAAATCACTAAAGAGATCACCTCAAAATTAGCAACTATACAAAGTTTGAAAACGTTTACATGAATACCCGTCGAATAATAAGCTTTCAAAAATTCTGAAATTACTAATTAAGATTGTTTTTGGGATGCACGTCCCAAAAACAAAAATTACAATACATTTCATAGTAAATATCACAATTTTCAAAAGCTTATTATTCGAAGGGTATTCATGTAAACGTCTTCAAACTTTGCATACTGACTAATATTGAGGTGCTCGTTTTAGTTATTTGGTTCATTTCTTAATTTGGGCACTTTTTAATACTCATCCCCAGTCCACTCATCAACTTCGGAATGGCTAATTGTGAGGGGGTCCAAGGTATGGTCCAAGGCCATGCTTGTCTGAAGTTTTGGGGTCTCACTAAACGGCATTGTGCTCAACCCATTTGAAATACTGCATGCACCAGGCAACCGGCCATTCCTGAACAGAAGTTGCATTCAAACACCTTTGTAGACCACAAATTTATATGGGCATCACTCCACTGAGAAAAAGTTACTCATTCTAATTGTACTGCACTATTAATGACTGCAATTGCAATTTGCACACATGCACCCATGAACCTCCACCCACCCCACCCCACCCCTTAGTCTGGGCAGTCCAGCTGGCTGGGTCCATATATTCCCTAAAACATTTGTTTAATTATAAACTACCATATCAAAACAGCCTCTTTTCAAGCAAAACGTTTTGTTTTAAAGGAATACTTCTGAACAGCATATTGAACATTAGAATTTCAGTCAAACTCATTCCCATCTTTTCCCTACCTGATTTTCACAGGAAATACGTAGTCTTACAAAGTAGGATTCTCCAACTTGTATTGCACTTTTATAAAGTCGAAATTCGGCTGCGTCCTTAGAATCTGTGACCATTTCTAGAACATCCATAACCCACTTGCACGTTTCTTCCATTGCAAAAATGCCAGATAAAACGATCAAAATTAACGCGAAACTCTGCAAAAACTTCATGTCTCGTTGGATAAATACCTGTAGCACCTATATAGGTATTTAAAATAAGCATAAAATTATTTTTAAACAAAGAAAAATTAATGTTTTTTGAAGTCTTTTTGAAGAAAAAAAATTTAAAATTACTTACAGAATTTCCAGAGATAAATATTACGACCGTACGGACTCATGGGAAATATTTTCAATCAATCAGACTCATTCTCATACCCAGGCCTTGTTGCAGCTCCGTTTTCAACATGGCGGCCTCAAAGGCAAGTGAAATTCCAAAATTGTTCGCTGTTACGTTGATTCGGAGCGGAATAAGACAGCCCTATTGGGAAAAAAGGACGCTGAAAGCTTTGGGATTAACAAAGCTTCACAAAACTGTCATTCATAAGAATTCTCCTTCAGTAAACGGCCAGCTAAATGCGGTGAAACATTTAATATCGATCAAGCCAATTGAAGTAGTTTGGAACACAGATGCAACAAAAGTTGATGTTGATAGCCAGAGTTCTTCTGAAAACGACAAGCCAGTATTTCTAAAAGAAAATGGATCGTTCGACATGGACAAATACGTACAACATTGCAAAAACGAGTCGAGGTCGAAGAGCAAATCGCCGGATTATTGAGTTGTTGGATAGACATATATTTTCAGTGTGATGACTAATGAACTGTCCAAGAAATCGGCCTGCATCCTACCAGTTGAAACTTGCCTGTCAAAAGCGGATGAAACGTACATGTAGATAACGCAGTACATGTAGACCAGACTGCAGAGTACGGCAAGTGCACACCCGAGTTTTTTTTTGGCCAATGGTATTGCACACTTAAACATATTTAAAATATTTTCCAGTTTTGTCAGGCATTAAAATAAG